CCCCAGACGCAAGCCTCCTTTCTAGAGGGGGGTCCTGTGCGTGCATCTGCACTGCTGTGTACAACGTCTGTCATGAGCCCTGAGACTTACAACTGGTTTTTTGCAAAAATCACTGGTCAGGGGATCCATGGGTGGCTCAGTGGTTTAGTGCCTGCCTTTGGCCCAGGGCACGATCCTGGAGTCCCAGGATCGAGTCCCGCATCAGGTTCCGGGCATGGAGCCTGTTTCTCCCTCTGCCTGTCTGTCTCTCGCTCTCTATCACGAATAAACAAATAAATAAATCTTAAAAAAAAAATCACTGGTCACAGGCCACCGCTAAGAACACACGGAGGACTTGGGGACCCTCCCGGGCCTCCTGTAGCCCTGCACCTTGCGCTGGCATGCTGTATGCGTGGCGCTGGCATGCTGTATGCGCAGCGTTGGTGTAGGCCCGTGTGCAGGTCTGTGCCGTCTTATACGTGCGGACTCGTGCAACTGCCACTGCAGTCAGGGTACAGAGCTGCTTCATTACCACGAAGGTTTCCCTTTGGGGGCCACTGGCTGGCTCGGTGGGTAGAGCACATGACCCCGGAAGTTGTGGACATTCTGCTGGATGCATGGCGATGCCCCCACTGCAGGTCCCTGCAGTGCTGTCCCCCTGGGTTCTGCACCTGAGCTGACCCGACCTTGGACCCTCCATTCTATCTCCTCAGCTCAGGGGGTCCTCCTCTCTGTGCCTCCTGGTCTAGAAACTTCCCAGGGTGTAAGCTGGGGGAGCAACTCATCCCATTCGCTTCTCCTCCCTTGACCATCACGGCCCTTCGTTGCCTTTGTCCAGTCATTGATCTCTCCTAAGTTCTGCTTCATTAGAAGCCGGGAGTTCCAACGGCAGAACTGCCACTACTGATCTCTAGCACCTGAGACGCTAACCTCTTCCGGGCACTTTCTTTATTTGTAAGATGAAGCGTTGGTCTATATGGGCCTTAATTCCTTCTCTGAGATTCTAGATGTTGTTTGACTTCTGGGAGAAGCAGTGAGCAATGTTGGTAGCTGCAGCCCTAGTTTGTATCATTTCTTTTTCTTTTTCTTTTTCTAAGTTTCTTTTTATTTTTCTTTTTTTAAAAAGATTTTATTTATTTATTCATGAGAGACACACAGAGAGAGGCAGAGACCTAGGCAGAGGGAGAAGCAGGCTCCATGCAGGGAGCCCCATGCGGGCCTCGATCCCGGGACCCAGGGTCACGCCCAGGGCCGAAGGCAGGTGCTAAACTGCTGAACCACCCAGGGATTCCCCCTTAAATTTCTTTTTCTAAAAAAGATTTTATTTATTTATTTATTTATTTATTTATTTATTTATTTATTTATATTTGTTTATTTTTTAAAGATTTTATTTATTTGGGAGAGAGAGACAGACAGAGAGAGCATGAGGAGAGGGAGAGGGAGCAGCAGGCTCCCCGCTGAACGAGAGGCCTGATGTGGGCTGGATCCCAGGACCCCGAGATCATGACCTGAGCTGAAGGCAGATGCTTAACCGGAGTGAGCCCCCCGCGTGCCCCAGTGGGTATTATTTCCGATGGGAAAATGTATTGATCAGGTAATGAGCATGTATTGGTTGTTGCTGGTGATAACAAGAAAAACAATAGTTAATATACTCATCCTTTTACACGCTGTGTCTTGTATAATATTCACAACATCCCTATGGAGAGAGATACTATTACTCAAATTTAGAAAACCTGGGCATGGGCTGGCTCAGTTGGTAGAGCATGTGACCGACTTGATCTCAGGGTTGTGAGTTTGAGCCCCACATTGAGGGGTGGCGATTTATGATATTTTTTATTTTTTTAAAAATATTTTTTAAAATTTTTATTTATTTATGATAGTCACAGAGAGAGAGAGAGAGAGAGAGAGAGAGAGAGAGAGAGAGGCAGAGACATAGGCAGAGGGAGAAGCAGGCTCCCTGCACCGGGAGCCCGACGTGGGATTCGACCCCGGGTTTCCAGGATCGCGCCCTGGGCCAAAGGCAGGCGCCAAACCCCTGCGCCACCCAGGGATCCCGATTTATTATATTTTTTAAAGATTTTACTTATGCATTTGACAGAGAGAGAGAGAGCGAGAGCGCACAAGCAGGCAGAGGGAAAAGAGCCGACTCTCAGCTGAACAGATAGCCTGATGCAGAGCTCCATCCCAGGACCCCTGGGATCCTGACCTGAGGCAAAGGCAGATAGATGCTTAGCTGAATGAGCCACCAGGAGCCCCTAAAAAAAAAAAAAAAAAAAAAAAAACCTTTAGAAGATGAGAAAACTGTGGACTAGAAAAGGGAAAAATGAAACCCAAACCCTGCCCGTCTAAAGGTCATCCTTAGACCACAGATGTAGGTCTTTTCTCTCTTTAATCAAGTATTTGATTTCAAACAGTCCCTGGTAGTGCCCCAACCACCCACTTTCGGAGAAGAAGGCGATGAGTATGGTTGAATACGCTGCCCCTGCTGACTCTCAACAGCTAGTGGGTTCAGCAGAGGAGCCTTTACGTCTTCCTCCTGCTGTCCCGAGACCTCAGCAGAAGGGACCCCAAAGAGGGATGGGACCAGCAAATAGAAGGTGAAAGACAGTAAGCGCTCCAGGTTGGTTAGCTGTCCTTACTACAGTTACTGTAGACCGTCCGCCGGGGCACCGCAGCGGTCAGCTGCATGGACTCTGCCGTCACAGAGGAGCTCCTGACCTCCATCGGCAGCTCGGGCAGCTCAAATGACTAAGCAAGCATCCTCCTACAGAAGGGAAGGCAATCACCGGTGGGACCTCCTGGTTTGACTCCCCCGGACCACAGGGATTGAAAGTGATGGTGCTGCTTTGGATGTGGACTTACCTAGAGCTCAGTTATCAGGTTTGCAAAAATCTGGGTGTTCTTTTTTTTTTTTTTTTTTTAAAGATTTTATTTACTTATTCATGAGAGATACAGAGAGAGGCAGAGACACAGGCAGAGGGAGAAGCAGGCTCCGTGCAGGGAGCCCAACGTGGGGCTCGATCACGGGCCTCGATCATGGGGCTCGATCATGGGGCTCCAGGATCATGCCCTGGGCTGATGGCAGCGCTAAACCGCTGGGCCACCCGGGCTGCCCAAAATCTGGGTGTTCTGATGAGAATGTGGTCATTGGTTGGGTTGGAAAGAGGGAGAAGGGAGTGGAGGCAGGGCTAGGCTTCATAGGTTAAGTATGTGCATATCTATGATTGACTCAGATACTCCAACGTTCCAATTAAGTCACGATCCGATTCTAAAATGTAAAAAGCAGGGCAGCTCTGCTTGGCACAGTGGTTTAGCACCGCCTTTGGCCCAGGGTGTGATCCTGGAGTCCCGGAATTTCTCTCTGTGTGTGTCTCTATGAATAAATAAATAAAATCTTAAAAAAAAAAAAGCTCGGGACAATGGGGGTCAGTCAGAATGGGACACTTGATAAAACTGTCTGCAGGTTCCCAGGCTGGACACATTTCCTGCCCTGGACAGGTCTGTCTCAATGTCCAAATAGCTTTACTTCAAAGTGTTTGTGGGAGAAGAGAGAACTGAGTGACTGGTTACTCAGTGCTGGTGGGAGGACTGGAGGGAGGATGGGCTTAGGAATTAAGTCTGGGTTTAAGCGCGCACAGGGCAGCAGGAGCTAACCATTTTTCTACAGACCAGCATCCAGGGCACTTTTGAGAAAGAAGGAAACCCTGGGAGGGAAGAGCTTGGGGAACAGGAGGACACAGACGTCTTTGAAGCTACTTAGGTGTGGAGGAGGTAAGTCCCAGTAGTGTTGGGTGCCCCAGGGAACAATTGGGGGAAGTTCTTTTTCCTTAGAGAAATTTTTTGAAAAATTGAAATATTTTCAACTTTATAGGAAAGTTACAACAATAATACAAAGAATTTCTGAATGCCCTCTATCCAGATACATAATGAAAGAAACTTTCCTCCGCATTAAAAAAAAAAACCCACTTTCTTTCTCTGTAAACACATGTATTTACATAGAATCTGTATTTTGAACCGTGTGAGGTGAGGCTGCATACAGCACGCCCCTGTTGTTTCTTAGTGTTTCAGGGTTCTTTTTTTTTAAGAATGAAGATATTCTTGTATTTAGTTTATTTATTTATTTATTTATTTATTTATTTATTTATTTATTTATTTATGATAGTCACACAAAGAGAGAGAGAGGCAGAGACACAGGCAGAGGGAGAAGCAGGCTCTATGCACCGGGAGCCCGACATGGGATTCGATCCGGGTCTCCAGGATCTCGCCCTGGGCCAAAGGCAGGCACTAAACCGCTGCACCACCCAGGGATCCCCTATTTAATTATTTTTAAAGATTTATTTTTTTAAAATTTATGATAGACATAGAGAGACAGAGAGGCAGAGACACAGGCAGAGGGAGAAGCAGGCTCCGTGCAGGGAGCCTGATGCAGGACTCGATCCCAGGACCCCGAGATCACCTGATCCCAAGGCAGATGCTCAACTGCTGAGCCCCCCAAGGGCCCCATATTCCTTTTTATCTTTTGAAGGGAAGGATGCGTAGCAAGGAGACTAATAGATACTTGAATGAGCAGAAATGAATTTGGGATAAAAATCGAGAGATGGTCTCCTATGGCAAGTCTAGTCCTTTACCGAAAACAAGGCTTTCTATAGGGATTTCTCTCAAGGAAAGTATGGCACTGTACTTGCTTGTCTTCTCACCCATCTTCCTGGGTTATTTGGAACTAATTCCTGTTTAGGAGTCACTTGATGTCAACCTTCCTCACTGATTCCCCATATGTGAACCAATTTCAGAACTGCTTCTCCCAGCGCCTTCCTGGTCTGCAAGATCACGTGTTATTAACCAGCAACAGAAATGTCGTGGGGGAGGGACCAGAGAAATGGGACAAGAACTAGAAAGATCCTCTGCCTTGAGGGCAGGGAGGGCGGGGAGACTCCAAAGACTAAGGTGTCAGGGTTAAAGGAGTCTAGAAGCCACATTTCATCTCCAAGCCAGGCCTGTTTCCCTTCTCCCCTCCAGGAAAAATGAAGCTGACTGTGGTGCAGATCCTCTTTATGATGCTGCTGCTCCTGCTGGGTCTGGGAATGGGCCTGGGCTTGGGGCTTCGGATGGCTGCAGCCGTCCTGGAGGACAGCGATCAGTCCCTGATGGAGTTTTGGTCCAGCGACTCGAAGGACACGGCCGAGGCCACTAAAGGAGAGGGCAGCCAGACTACAGAGAACTTGGTGCTTAGCAGCAAAGGCGTGCTGCCCCCCGGCTGGCCCGAAGACCCCATCCTAGGTGAAGACGAAGTGGCGGGAAACAAGGTGGGAGGGGAGCCTCTCCTTCTCAGCAACAAAGCCTACCTTCGGTCTGACCTGCTGGCCAGGGAATGCAACACCCTGATGGCGCCCAAGGTGAAGGGTCACAACCGCACGTGCATAAGCCAGTACACGTTCATCCATGAGGACCTTGACGCCGTCCAGGCCGTCTGCAACAGTCCTGTCGTGGCCTGTCAGCTCAAGGGAGGCAAATGCCACAGAAGCTCCCGTCCTTTTGACTTGACCTTCTGCAGGTTGTCCAAACCGGGCCAGGTCACTCCTCACTGCCATTACATCACTTTCATTTTTGAAAAGTATATTATCATATCCTGCAATGACATGAAGGTCCAGGTAGTGTCTGGACAATGAAAGCCTTTTCTCCTCCTCCTCCTCCTCCTCCTTCTCCTTTCTCCTTCTTCTCCTTCTCCCCCTGCTCTTCTTTCACCCCCCCCCACTGCTTTCTCATGCGGCACCCCCCTGGGTGCTCTGCAGACGCTCTGCAGACCGGCCCTGGAGACAGAGGCTGGCCTATTCCGTATCATTCTCCCCCAAAAACACAGTCCTTCTGGGCCCGGAGTTTCACCCAACTTGTGTTTAATTCCTGGGGTTAGAGGTGGCCGCTGGGGGTCAGGGGCCGCAGTGGCTCAGGCCCTCCGTCGCCCCTACCCTGCAGGGACAGCAGTGAAGAGCTGCTCTCACGTCTGCGGGGACCCAGGGCATCAGTCTCTCCACCCTTGGGTGTGGACTGCAGGGGCTGACGTGGCCTCCCCTGTGGGTTCATGATCCTTCCCTGCAGTTTGCGAGCATCTGGGACACTCACCTGGTCTCCCAGGCTTTCCCGGGCACCTCTGAGCGGCTGGTGGTGCAGCGATACAGGTGAGCACCTGGAGCTGCGCTGCCCTGGTGAAGCCCTGGATCAGGGTTCCCGTCTGGAGTCCCCCAAACAGAGGACTAATCCTAGGGGTCTGCTGGGAAGGTGCAGGCTGGTGCGGATGGAGATAGAGCGTGTGTCCCGGCAGGGGCAGTGCTTTTTTTTTTTTTTTTTTTACCCTTTCAGGCCTTTTCTCTGCCCTCCCATTTTTTACTACCTGCCTTTTTGTCTCGATTCTTTCTCCATCACTTTCTTTCTTTTGCTTCCTCCCTGCTGCCCCTTGCTTCCCTCTGTTTTCCTTTTCCTCTGCTTTTTGGGCTCTCCCTATTCTTTCTCCAAATCCCTTTAGAAATTCACTCAGCAGGTTAAGCATCAGAGTCTCGGGTAAGATCTCCTGGTGGTGGGACAGAGCCCCTGCACCTAGCTCTGCCCTCAGCGGGCAGTCGCTTCTCGCTCTCCCTCTGCCACTCTGCCAAAAAGCATGTTCTTTCTCCAATAAATAAACAACAAAAAAAAAAGAAGTTCATTCAGCCAACACTGATAATTTACACTATGGCAGGTAAGAAGATGTTGGTCTTATGGTTTAAAAAGTCCAGCACAGGGAGTTGGAAGGAGGGCAGGTCATGAGAGGGATGGGGGGGGGGGAGGGAGCCCTATTTCCAAACTATGTCCAGAAAACAGACTCGTGCTCCCTTTAGGTGCTCGGGGATGTAGAATGGGTGGGGTCAGGGGAGCCTTATTCTCCGTGTCACTTCTGCCCCCTTTGCTCTGCAGAAGAACATTGATGAAAGAATAATTTCAGTGGAGAAGGGATTGGATCCATTCACGGGGTGGGAAGACTATGGTGTCTACATAGAGAATAGAGGTGGCTATTCCCTCGGCCTGTTCCTCTGAATCAGTTTCTATCAAGAAATAGTGTAGTTAGGGACGCCTGGGGGGCTCAGTGGCTGAACGGCTGCTTTCAGCCCAGGACATGACCCTGGGTCCCGGGATCGAGTCCCAGGTCGGGCTCCCTGCGTGGGGCCTGCTTCTCCCTCTGCCTGTGTCTCTGCCTCTCTCTCTCTCTGTGTGTCTCTCATGAATAAATAAATAAAATCTTTTAAAAAATTAAATAAAAACCCAATGAAATCCTAGTACATTAATCTGGAAGTTCAACAAAATTTGGATTTTTACCTGAATGACTAATCCTTTTGAGAACACAAAAAATATGTATTTTTTAAAAAATCAAAATCAATCTCCTTGATCTCCCTGACATTCCTTCCCTTCTGGCCCCTGCGTTGCCGGCTGTCTTGCCCTGCCTGCTGGGTGACCCTGCACAGAACAACGGGGGCTGGGAGGGAGGACCCCGGCAAAGAAATAACTCCTTTATTATCTGCAAGGTACTAAAATCTTGTCTTCAGGACACTTTGTACAAGTGCTTCTTAACCCTGGCTGTTCCTTAGAATCTCCTCAGGAACTTCAAAAATGCAACAGATATAAGTCCCAGAAGCAAAGATACAGCATGGGTTGCCCTGGGGCTCAGCCGGGTGAGCATCTGCCTTTGGCTCAGGTCACAGGGTGCTGGGGTTGAGCCCCGAGCTGGGCTCCCTGCTCAGTGCTCAGTGCTCAGTGCTGAGCCTGCCTCTCTCTCTTCCCCTCCCTCTGTGCTCTCGCTCACTCTCTCCTAAATAAATAAATTAATTAATTAAATGTTTTTTAAAAAGGCAATATATGCCATCCCAGCGAAATATCTTTCCATATGCCTGAGTCGGGACCTGGCCATCAGGGGGAGCCCAGGCCTGGGGAACTGGTGTTTCAAAGACTGTTACTAGAGATATCAGGAGGTCTGGGTGACGCTGGGCTAAGCAGAGCTGGGGAGTCTGTTCTATGCAGCCGTCACAAGCTCCGCTGTTAGTGGAGGAGCTCTGGTGTGCTTATGGGGCCGGGGCGGGCTTGACTGTCCTTGATGGGGCTCAATCCGCCAACGTTGCGCTTGGTGGTCACGTGGCCAGGTCGCCCCCAGGGAGAGCACCGACAGGGACACCATTTGACAGGATCCTTCTGGAAGCAGTTACTAGAATACAAGATGTAACTTCAACACAGGTCGCAATTTCAGGGACATTGGCTAATATGTGGGGTCCTGTTAATCTTCCCAAGGTTCATCCCTGGATGGCCCCAATGTCTACACACGTGGGGCTAGTGCAGTCCTTAGAACTGAGCAAACGGGGCCCCACCCTGGGCCTGCCCCTCCTCTTTGGAGGGCCTTTAACCTAGGAAGTCCTCCTCTTGGGTCTGGTAGTGACCGGGCCAACAGTGCCCTCTAAGGCACATGCCCTGGGCTTGAACCGGGCCCCGTGTGGGCTGCAGACCCATTTCCCCCACTCAGGGCGCTGCTCCCCTATGTGGAGCCCACCAGCTGCCCCCTGGGAGTTCTGAGACTGGCACGTGTGCAGTCACCCGAGCGTCCTGAAGCCAAGGCCTGGTTCCAGCACAGTGGGGTGGTAAGTGGGTCCCTCTCTCTGGCTACCGTGGTGTTTCTTTTGTGGGATCACATGAATGTGGGGAGCCAGAAAGGTGCTCATGTGTGAATGTGGGGTGAAACACATCCTAGACGCGGGATGAATTTAGGGCTGTAGGTCACCAGAGGTTGAGACTGACTCTGGGGGTTGAGAGCACGCGTGGGAGGCTCTGGCCCCATCACGTTGTCCTGCTCAGCTCCTTCTGGCCTATGGCCAAGGAGCAGCGAAGCAGGGGGCCGGCGTTCTTGTCTCCCCGAGTCGGAGACTGAACCTCTCAGACAAATGGGGTGGGCAACGCGGTAGAGTTTGCTCAGCGAGGATACAGAGAAGGCTCTCAGGGGTCCGAGGGCTCCCGATCAGGTCGCCCACGAGGGTTCTCACCCCTGGCCTTTTGTTAGGACTTTCCCGGAAAGCACGCCCGCGGTTAGGTCAGTGGTGTGGAGCTTGACCTCGTACTCTGCGTGGGAGTCTTTGTTTCTTGTGACATCTGTGACCCTAGATCTGGTTGGAATTTATAGTGAACTCCTTTGAGGTCCGATCATTCTTTTGTGTGGTTATTTTCTATTTTCTATGGTGATGATGTAACTGTTGGGAAAACATGTTGACCCCAGCCGTTGGGACAGGGGGCTGGTTCCCCAGGCGGCTGGAGAGTAGTCTGATCTTTGGTTCCTGATCTTTTTTGTTCTGTCCCATTGTCTGCATGCATGAAATCCCCTCCGGGCCTAGTTGGAGCCCCGTTCCTTCCCTGCCCACAGTCCCTTCCTTCCCCTGCGAGCCCCCTACGCAGGCCCCCAGGGGTCACGCTGCACACCAAGGAGGGGCGGGGCGGCTACCCCAGCGAACTGGGGCACTTCTGGGGCGCTTCGGATCAAGGTCTGCGCTTGCCTCTGATGGGCGGGTGATGGTGTCCTCCCTGGGGCTGGTCTTGATAAAGGTGAAGGATGGCCATTTCTTACATAAACAGGACTGCTCTTCTTACCCTGCCCCGGGGCCCCTTGCCCACCCTCCTTGCGGTGGCGCAGTGACTCGATGTGGCAGGTAGGGGCACAGGCCACAACCACCAGCTCCCTCCGGGTCCTGGAGACCTTGTTGCCCTAATACCTGGGAGGCTTATCTTATCCCCAACCCCTCCCATGTGGAAAGTGTCTAAGGAGCCATCTGCCCAGGAGCCCTGTCCCCACCCTGTAATAAAGCCACTTCTTTGTACTGAAGGCGTCTCAGGATTTCTTTCTTACCTTCGGCTTTGAACTCTAACATCTTTCCTACATCAGTAGGGGATCAGGCCACGGGGTTCCCAAGATGCTGGGCCAGCTGATGGGGTCCCCCTGGGACAGAAATTCTCTTGCCAACGAGTCCAGTTCGGCGATGACAGAGTGGGCGACAGTCCGCCTCTCAGCTGCTGCCCCACGACGTCCCCTCTGGGGCTAGAACGGATCTTGGAGAACGTCCGGGAGTCACAGCCTGGCTCTAGAGCAGGTCACGAAATTGCATCCAAAGAACTGGATTTTTTCCTTTGTCCTTGATGCCGTGGGTCGGCCTTGCCGTTCCCTGCAGACCCCCGGGAGGAGCACAGGTGGCCGAGCAGGGAGGAGCGGAGACTGCGAAGGGGTCAGGCCTGAGGGCAGCAGAGGGGGGACCTGTTCACGTGTTCAAGAGTCAGATGAAAGAATTGCTAAGTTGTTGTCCCGGGTGGAGCAACTGGGAGCTGGAGGAAAGGAGAAGAATCCCAGGAAGCAGTGGAGGAGGTAGAGCAAGCACCGCTTGGGGTGGGGGGCGAGTTCGTGGGAATTCCACGGGAGCTTCCCGTTTCCAAGGGCAGGAGCTTGGATCTGGGCCTCCTCCACCTCTTAAGTCTGCGTAGCTTCTGCCGAGCCTGCGTGCGATTCCCAAAGTACGGTGTTGTATGGTAAGAAGCCAGTATCTTTATTCTTTCTGGTAGGAGCATAGTGAACAGATTGTGTGGCTCGCCTTGGGATTTTTTTGAACATTTGTAAAACGCC